GATCCGCTGTAGAAAAGCATTTGCGAAAGACCGGCCATTGGGGCAGCTCGATGGCACAGTGGATAGAACATTGGCCCTGGAGTCAGGAGGACCCAAGTTCAAATCCGACCTCAGATACTTGACACTTAACTAGCTGTGTGACCCTAGGCAAGTCACTTAACCCCATTGCCTAGTAAAAATAGAATAAAATAAAATAAAATAAAATAAAGACCAGCTATTCCCTCTTATAATAAAGCTTCATTGAGGATGCCCTCGATATATGCATAGATTATTCTCCAAGATTTTAGATTTTGTAGAGAAGTGAATGAAGGCTTATAGGTTATTGGTACTTCCTTAGTATCTTTTTCTGGTTTGTTCCAAGTATTTTGTATCCTCTCCCCTTTCAGGTATTAAAGATGATCCATCTGGTAATATTGTAAGAAATAGCACATAATAAAATGATAATAATCCATAGTGTCTGCATTATACTCCTCATTGTTCCCAGTAACATGAGAGAGCAAAGGCAAGTTCTGACTGCCTGCTGTGAAGCCTGTGTGGGTGGTCAAATTTGTTGATAGTGCATTCTGTTGTTAGGAATGTGAATTACAAAAGTGCTTTCAGTATGTGAGCCAAGAGGTACAAAACAATGCTGACATGGGGTGAAATTTTTTTTTAAATAAGCTGCGCAGTGATATGGCCTTAAAAAATGCCTCTTTTTAGTGTATTCACTGATGAACCTTTGCAGAGCTTAGAGCTTGACATATACATACATAAAGAGAAATCAGTCAAACCCCACATGTAATAACTCCCTTGATTTTTTAAAATGTTAGTGGATTTAAAATATCAAAGTTATATCAAATAAAGATTTGGAAACTAGCTAGCAAAAATCAAACTGAATACAGTAATACTTCTAATTAACAAAAAAAGACATGTTATCACACCACTCTTTGCTGTCACAAATGGTATTACCAAAGTAGAAATTCTGTGAAACATGGTGATAGATTCTAGAAGATGAATTCTTTCTCTCCTCCCTCCAGATGAAATATGTTAGCTCTGAAGGCTCAATGGCTCCAAAACCTCCTTCAGGACAAATCTCTACCTAGTGACACAGAGCTGTCTACTGCCTATATCCTGGAGGGCGCTGATCCTGCTGCCAGGTAATAACAAGGCAGTACAGTGGATAGAGCACTGAGCCTAAAGTCAGGAAGACCTGAGTTCAAACCTGGTCTTACTAGTTATGTGACCTTGAGCAAATCATTTAACCTGTTTGCCTCAACTTCCCCAACTGTAAGTGGGGATAATAAGAGCACTTACCTCCCAATATTGTTGTGAGGATAAAATGAAATGAATTTGTAAAGTACTTAGCACAGTGTCTGCAGTAGGTGTTGAATAAAAATGCTATTATTAGTATTATTGTTTATTAGGTAACAAGGGCATATGGGCTCCAGGAATGAGGAGGCAGGCCAATGTTCTGATCTACCCCCAAGAGCTACCTATATCTGAGAGAGTACCACTATTGTTTCCCCCTGGGATACACTTCATCTGAGAACTCAGTGCTAACAAATCTAGAACTTCTCTCAACCGACTCCTCACCCCCAGGATGACTTTGTCAAAAGCTCTGACCTCAGAGGTTTTGTCAATCAAGATTCATTACTGTGTAACACACACTAACAAGAGATACTTTGCCAAAATATTTAAATATTGGTGAAATTAATCTTTGATACAAAGGTAGCCTTTGTGGTAGCCACAAAAATGGAAGAATTCTGAAAAATGCTGGATGTTTTCTTCTGTAAAGGATGGAAAATAATAAGCTTAAATGACTCTCATCAAGCAAAAACCTACTTGAGAGAGGTCTGATCATTTTCTTCCTTCGTTAATGACAAAGCTTTGAAGCTTTGGAACCTGAGAAAGATTAATAATTAATTTACTAGCTTTTATTGCTATAAGTGAATTACAGTTCTATTACATATTTACTAGAAGCATCTTAGGCCCCAAACTTCAGGAATTCAGGAATTTTATCAAGTACTCCATAAGATAAATGTTTATTTTGAAACCTAGCATGTATGGCACCTGGTTGATCTGTGCCTTTCTCTATTTAAATATACTACAATATTTCCCACCATCTTTATCCAGAGCTCCCACGGTCATTACTCACCTCAGAAACCTGCCTAACAGTGTGTGACCTGACCATTCTGGTTACTCTCACTCCGCCCACACTGCCTTGGGCAATATGATGGCAGCAAAGGAAGATTATACCTGCCACTTTGTCAGCAAATGAAAATTAATTAATTACTCATGACTGGAAAAGAGAGGAAGGAGGCTTTCCCAAAGGAGACATGATCTGACCCTGAGGCACCCCTACCTTACCATTTTCTACTTCCATTTAAGCTCTGACATGCAAACACTTCCCTAGAATAGGAGCTATTTTCCTAGCTAATGTTGTTCTTAGAGCACTTCTTAGTAAGCTCATAAACATTTGATGATGAGAAGTACTAAATAGCAAATTGGCCCCAGAAGCCTCAAGCATTCCCAGATTTCTGAGTTTTCAACTTAACATAAATGGGAGATGCAGCCCAAAAGAAAACAGCATCATCCTTATAAGTTTCCAACTACTTGAAGCTCTTTGTAGGAGTAATTAAGCAGCCTGTCATTAATTGAGACAGAAAGTGCCCAGGAATAAAAATCTTAAGGGATTTTTTTTTCCATGGTGTCTGTCTGGGAAAGTTTCAGTAACTGAATATGCTCATCACTGGTCTGGGCCTGCAAAGTGTGGGAGAACTCAACAGGACAGAAATCAAATTTCTGGGCCAAGAACAAAAGGAAGGCCTGTCAAGTTTTATTAGTAAACATGTAGTCCCCATGTCTGAGAAGAAGGATTGTTAACACCTTCTACATAACAGCCAATGACAGTTTTACAGAGCTGAGTGAAATATATGTCATTTCACTTAGCTCTGTAAATGTAATATAAAATATAATTTTACATTAATTATGCAAATATAAAAAGGATTCCCTTAAATCTTTAAATTTAAATTTAGCAAACATTTGTTAAGTGCCTTAGGATACCTTAGGATTCCTAGGAACCTGTCTACAAGATGTAGATTGGATTTTCAAATTAAATTCTAATATTTCTCACCAATTTCTCAAGAAGTCTTTATTAGCAGCTATAAGGCAGACACAGAAGATACAAAGACAAGGGAAAAAAAAAAACCAACAAGATTTTTGAGAGTGATCCCCTCAAGGACCTTTTTTATACTTGAGGGGAGGTAGGGAGTAGTGGAAGGGGGGGAAATATATAGAAAAATAAATACAAAATATATATGAAGATGCTTCTGGAAGGAGGTCACAGGTTTGTTATCAATAGAACAGGGGTCCCAGAGGGTATGACAGAAAGGGTAAGGTAAAGTGGAGTAGGAATACAGGAGGGATGGGCTTGACAAGGATGAATATGAGGAAACAGGGAGTTATCCGCCAGAGTGCACTCGAAAGCAGATTGCAACTCAGAATCACAGGGATTATGTGATTGTCACTCTTTACAGTAAAAGTCAGAGAAGGGAAGAGAGGTGCGTACATGCAGTCACTTGGGTGATGGTCAAGGCAAGGGTCTGTGGAGTCCGGGGGCCTGGCTGATTATAGAGGGATGAGGCTGATTTCACTGCTTTAGCATCCAAGAGTCATAGGTTACATAATGTCTAGTTCTTTTTGGCACCACCCTCAGAGCTTATCCACAAAGATCAAGGGAATGAGGCTAAATCCAGGGTTTGTAAAAAATGCAAATTTTGGAAGTTTCTATATTTACAGATATTACAACCAAATTCTCTTACCCACAAGTAAATAAACACAAAATAAAGTAATTGAGAAACATATTAGGTTATTACTTTATTGCATTTGCCCCATCACCTTATGAATTATATGCTTCTAGTCCGGTTATTCATGTAGTTTACTAAATGGTTCCTAATCTGGGGTACATGGAAGGATTTCAGAGGGCCTGTGAACTTGGATGGGAAAAAATAATATTTTAATAATCTTTGGTTTCCTTTATAATCTTATGTATTTTATTCATTTAAAAATATTTTTCTGAAAAAGGGTCCATGACATTTCAACTGTCTGTCAAAGGGGTCCATGACAAAAAAAAAACAGTTCAGAACCCTGGCTTACACAAAATTCTTTTTCCACTCTTTTGTATCCTACTAGGAGAATGTAAGCTCCTTGCAGGCAGGCTTTGTTTTGTTTCTGTCTTGTGAAGGAAAAATAGGGACCACAATCATTCCACTACACCTTGAGTATAGAAATCCCCCAACTTCCTGGTGGCCTAGCTGTGCAAAGTAAGGAGAAATAAAATATAACAAATTATATAAAGTAGGTGGTCTCATTCACAGTTGTAATAAAAATATTTATTGTCCTTGGATAAGAGACAGGTGTAGTCTTGTCTAAATGGTTACCTCAGTCTTATAGTTTGTCACAATTGTGGGAGTATTTGGTCACCTCCCTTTGCCTCCTGCCCTTGAACAGGGTATGTCTTCTTATTCAGATAACACACCTTACCAGCTGCATGGGAAATATCCCATAGAATCCCCCTCCTTTCTTGCTTGAATGATTCCTCCTTTCTCTACCCTCCCCTCTCCTGTGAAACATGTTACTTATCTGTTCTAAGTTGCTGTAGAATACTGCTGATTGGCTGTGGGAGTAAGGCTACCAAGTTATAAAAACTAAATGTGTACTCTAGGAAGTTGAAGCTGCTATCAGCAGTTTCTTTGGCATGCTAATACATTTTGTTGTTTTCAATTTGTCCTCCTACCTTTGACCCACAGTCATGACCTCTGCTGACAAGTACATCTCTCTAAGAGGTCCCATTAGAGAATTGCTCAACATCTCCATGTGTATTCTTAGAACCTAAAATGGTGTCTGGCATTAAGGAGATGGGAAAGAAATGCTTGTTGAATTGAATTAGATTAAGCTATTGATAGTATCCTGTCCCCTTGCTTTTTCCCCACAACATATCAATCCAGATTTAATTTACATACCATACAGAGCTGAGGAGCTGATGAAGCGCAAATAGTTGGATTCACATGTCTGAGATTCAATATTCACATCCGCAAGTCTCAGAATCAGTCTTTTCCCCTGAGGGACTGTAATGGTCTTTTCACATATAGTATGATTGGGGTAAGTCCCTGGATAATTCTTAGATGCCAATGTGCCACTGTCTTGGTAAGTCACCATGTGCCCACATCCATCACCTATACAAAAAAAAAGGATTAGAAGAATGAGGAAGATGTATGAATTTCTTAAAGTACAAATTTCTTGCTCATAAACTCCTTGCTAAGGATTGATAGGCTAAGCCACCACACTCTTTTTTTAAATTTTGTTTTTACTGTGAAGTTAAAACACCAAATAGAATGAGCATTTCCATTTATCTCACAAAGAGGGTTATACATGAAACTGTAGATCTCTATTATGTTCAGTTTGCCTTTCTTTTTAAGTACATAGTAAATTTAACTTGTAGCTTTCAAAGCTGTCCTGCCTATCTGTGCTTTTTCCTGGCCTTTCTCCTGTTCTCTGCATTTTTTTTTAAAGATGCCTTGATGACCCTCTTTTCTATTTTTTTTAACTAGCATTCTCTCCAGGTGACATGTGTCACCCCAATTTAGACAACAGGTAACTCTGAAGCAAGCCCTCAGTTGGATCTCCTTTTCCTCAATTTAGTGCTCTAGGCAAAAGAGAGGAGAGTGGCAAGATAAAAGATTGGCCTTGGAGCTCAAGGCTGGCCTCTGACACATTTTGGCTCTAACATGCAGGGCAAGTTACTAAATCTCTTAGTACTTCAGGAAATTCTCTAAACTTCATATCAATCACTGATCTGCTTTGGTAGGAAGAACTTACATGGGGTTCCCTACAAACAGTGATGCAACCTCTGGCCCAGTCAAAAAGTCCTCTAGCTGCAACTAACCTTAATGGCTTTGCCTCTGATCATGGAAATCCCCTGGTGAATATATCATTTAATTACATTACTTTATTAAAAAGATAATGACATATAGAGAAGTATGCCTTGGTAAAAAGAATGGCCATTGCTTCTATGAAACAGGGGTGAAGAAGACATCAGGGTGATGTGAGATGAAGAAGAAAGAAGAAGAGGGAGCTCTCATAACAGTTTCAGTTTTTTTCCAGTGATATATGTGGCAAGGTTCTTGGCTGAGAGGACTGAGGGGAAGGAGAGTTATGGGAACTCTAAGAAGATATGAAAATATTTTAGAAGAGCAGCTGTGCTGAGTAAGATAGTCATTCAATTAAGGATGTGTAAAGGGCTTGCCTTGCTACAGTGAGGACCCAGTTGAGATTATGTAACATAAATTTGTAGTGGCCCCAGTCAGCATGGTTTCATGATTTTTTGATGGAGTAACATGTGAATAGAAGCAAATACAGTGGATGCTTGGAGTAATCAAAGGCTATAGTTTGGCAGGACAACGATAAGGAGGATGAGGGACCTGAGAAAAGAGTTTAGTATGAAGTTGAACTGGCTTACCAGTTTAGGAGTCAAGATGGAGAAGGAAGTAGAATACAGGCAATGTAGAGGTGATGGCCTAGGAAAGAACTGAGTAGTAGGGGGATTAGAGGTTGAGAAGATGATGAAGAACAAGGTTAGGAGCTGCAAGGCAGAGACAAAGATGGAATGATAAAGATTGTGATTAGATACAGGATTCTCAGGGTTGGGTTTTTTGTTTGTTTTATTTGTTTTATTTATTTATTTTTTTTGTGAGGCAATTGGGGTTAAGTGATTTGCCCAAAGTCACACAGCTAGTAAGTGTTATGTGTCTGAGGCCGGATTTGAACTCAGGTCCTCCTGACTCCAGGGTCAGTGCTCTATCCACTGCGCCACCTAGATGCCCCCTTTTTGTTTATTTTAAAGAAAGATAATAACAAATGAAGGGGGAAGTGGTTTTTAAAGATATATAAATTTACCAGCATTATACAAGGACATTGTAAAGAAATAAATCCCAATAGTTAGCTGAATTGTTTTCTTCTATTTTAATGCCTTCCCCTCCCCCCAAATAACTATCAACATTTCTTTGAAATGTCAAATAGGTTAGCATTCACTGAGAGGTAAAATGGTATAGGGAAGAGAACATGAATATTAGTTGTATAACTATAAGCAAGTCATTAAACCTCCAAGGACTTCATTTTCTTCATCTATGAAAGAGGGATAGGAATTTCAGGATCACCTGCCTAAAACAAGGTTAGGAGAAAAGCATTCTGTAGATGTCAGCTATGATTATTTTCTTTATATAGCTCCTGGACAAATCAATTAAAAAGGTATTATTGAGCTACATGTTCAATACTGTGCTAGACCCAATGACGGATGTGTAAGTACAAGATCTCCTTTGCCATCAACGAGCTTTTATTACTTAGTGGACGAGATAGGAGAATCATGCGTGTGAGGGAAAAACAAAAACTCGACTTCCCATTATTTTTTTCTGAGGACTGAGTGGGTAGATCAAGATGTCCCAAAAGTCTTAGTGAAGCTTTAAGGTATTAGACCTTAAACTGAGACTTTTGGGGAACCCTCTAGAAGCCACAAACTCTAAAAACTGGGACATATAGGTATAAAATTGTGTTGTAATCGAATAAGACACATAAAAGTTAATCAGACAGCAATTTAATGATGCTTTTGCTCTACCTGGTAATGAGATATAAATGACAAACAGTTCTAGGAAATGATTATATTTTTACACAGCCAGCCGAACCAAACATGCATGGAGTCATCTGGAGGAAGGGAGGGAAGAGTGAAGTATAGAGCAGGAAGCTACTCTGAGGCTCTTCTCTTTGAAGACCTGAGGCTCCCAAGAAACTGGACTTCCCAGTTTTACTGGTGACGTATCTATCATCTAAATGCCCTGGGAACCTGAGACTGTACATTCTCCTCACTCAGTTGAATAGTTTCTGCTATGACACTCTCGTTTTCATTCTTCCACGAGATGCCTGAGTCAATCGGACTGATCTCTTTGGTTTCATCACTTGTACCCTGTAACTAGAGCCAGGCTTGTTGCATCTAAACCTAAAGCTTAGTTATAATAACCTTTTTCCCTCCAACACACACACACACACACACACACACACACACACACACACACACACAATTTCCCCCTCTGTGTCCTTAAGTAGCAAAGGAGAAAATTCATCTCTGTCCAAGCAACTAAAATGGATTGTTACACTTCTACGTTCCTCTCCTCATTCCATGACTACCGCTCCACTCTCTCCCTGTCTAACACATGGAATAAGGAAATCTCCTACTGCCAGACCTCTCAGTGCCCTGACTAATGTTCAATAATCAAGCCAGTACTTGTTATTCACAAGGCCAAGGTAAGGTGATAATTTAGCCTCCACGCAAACTGGTCACAGGATTTCAGAACTCACCAATGTTGTCCTCGTTCCCAACACTTGGGGCCTCCCAGAATACTCAGTTTGTGGGTACCTACTGCCAGAAAGTCAGGGAGAACCAGCTACCTGTGTCCCTAAGAATTCACGTTTTGAAACAAGCCTCAGAGCAGCTTCTCGACCCATCAACTTCTTTCTTCTCACCTCACTGCTGGCAGAACAGAGCCACAAGCAGTCTTTCTTGATCCTTCCTCCTAGGGTAGGGTAGGGGAAGGGGAGGCCTAACACACTGACAGAGTAGGCCATTACAATTTAAGAGGAACCCCTGGTTCCAAATTCTCTCTCACAGAAAGCCTGAAATTCTACCAATTACTAATTCTTTTTTACTAGTAAGGAAACACTTGAGGGGGAGCAGGGAATGAGGGAAATGAGTCTCAATCTTTATCAGTTATCTATACTGATTTAATTTGAAGCTTTGTGAATGAAGAAGTACTGAGGACAAACAGAGAGAAGGGAGAACACGGTCCTGAGCACTTCGGGGCAATTCAGGAGAGGGTATTCTTGAGTGGGAGGATAATATTAGGAGCTCTGAAGGATAGAAAGGGCCAGAAAGGGAAGTGAGAGAGCAATAGAGACAAACTTCACAATTTTCCCTACAGCTAACACTAGCCTTCTATATAAGAAGCCAAACTGAGATGTCTTAAATTCAACAGGTCTTTACTGAACCTTTTTCCCTTGGCCCTACCTAAGAGCCAAACTCAAGATTTTAGCTTTCTGATGATGTGTACAGAAACCAAGGGGTTGTTTTCCTGGGAGAGGCTCTAAACTGGCTGTCCACAACAAAGAGAAGACATTCTGGGATAATTCTATGCTGTGAGCAGATTATTGGAAAGCATGTATAAGACTATATAATTAAGTGTTGAACTGTGTGCTGCAGACCACAAGCAACTTTCAGAGGGAAGTAATCACAGCAACCTTCATGGAAGAGATGAGATGGGCTAGCCTTTGAAATAATAATAACAGCTGACATTTATATAATTGCTTTAGACAGGCAGCACTTAGAGAAATAGACAGGAAGGGGAGCATTGTCCAGGTCAGGCAATCAATCAATCAATCAACCAGTATTTGTTAAGTACCTACTAGGTGCCAGACTCTAGGCTGGGTTCTAAGAAATTTATATTCAATAGGAGGAGAAAATACATACATACATACATATATACATACATATAAAAGGTCCTCTTTGAGAATGGAGGACAAACAACAATATACACATGTAGATATGTAATAGACAAAATAATAGGGAGAAGTACTAGCAACTGGGTAGAGGAAATTAGAAAAAGTTTCATGAAGGAAGCACCCTTCAGCTGAGCTCTAAAGAAAGCTAGGGATACTCAATGGTGAATTGAGGAGGGATGGGGGACAGCCAGGTAAAAGGCGGGGGGAGATGGGAGATGGAGTGTTCTGTGTGAGGAAAAGCAAGAAAACAAGTTTGGCTGGACCATGGAGTCATATATAATAAGGCTGTTAAGGTAGGTTGGAGCGACATTATAAAAAACTCTAACTGCTAAGCAGAGGAATTTGCATCTGATTCTTGAGGTAACTGGAAGCCAATAGAGTTTATTGCACAAGACAGTAAAATGGGAAAATCTGTGTGTCCATTTAGGAAAATCACTTTAGCAAGCAGTGGATAGGATGGATTGAAGTAGCAAGAAACATGAGGCAAGGATATAAATTATGAAACTATTATAATAGTCCAGGCAAGAGGAGATGAGGGACTGAGCCAGCTAGAGTGGTGGCCCTAAGTGGAGAGAAAGAGATTACATATGAGAGATGTAGAAGCAGCAATGACAAGGATTAGCATCTTATT